AAAATTAAGGATAAAAAAGGGGAGGCCAAGGTGGGAGATTAGGAACCAGCCTGGGTGACATGGTGAGACCCTATCTCTATATAAAAAATAAAAATATAAAAGGGAATATTATCTTACAGAAATATAAAGGATTATAAGAAAATACTGTGAACATTGCCAACAAATTAGATGAAATGGTCAAATTTCTGTAAAAACACAAACTAACAAAACCGATTAAAGAAGAAATAGAAAATCTGAATTGAACTATAATGAGTAGAGAGATCGAATTAGTAACCAAAAACCTCCACAAAGAAAAGTTCAGGTCCAGATGGTGTCATTGAATTCTACCCAACACTTAAAGAATTAGCACCAGTCCTTCACAAACTTTCAAAATCTAGAAGAGGAGAGAACATTTCCCATTCCATGAGGCCATATTACCCTGAAGCCAGAGCCACAGAAAGATACCATGAGCAAAAAAAACTACAGAGCAGTATCTCTTATAAATAGAGGTGCAGAAACCCTCAACAATACATGAGTAAGCAGAATCCAGCCATATATAAAGAGAATTATACATCAAGACCAAGCGGGACTCACTCCAGGAATGCAAGGCAGGTTCAGCATTCAAAAATCAGTTAAAGTAATAGACCATATCAAGAAAATAAAGGACAGAACTGCTATGATTATCTTAATAGACCCAGAAGAAACATTTGACACAATTTAACACCTCTTCATAATAAAAACAATCAAATAAGAATGGAAGGGAAATTCCCCAACTTGATAAAAGGCATCTGTGAGAGAACTATAGCTAATGTTGCTGAAAGACCGAACGCCTCTCCCCAGAGACCAGGAGCAAAATAGACACATCCACTTTCAACACGTTTGGTCCACATTGTCCTGGAAGCATGAGTCAAGCAGTTGGGCAGGGAAATCAAAAGGAAATGGCATCTACATCAGAAAGGAAGAGGGAAGATGATCTCCAATTTGCAGAAGACATGATCTCGTGGACAGAAAATTCTAGGAAATCCACTGAAAAGGGGCCAGGCACAGTGGCTCATGCCTGTAATCCCAGCATTTTAAGAGGCAGAGGTGGGTGGATCACTTGAGGTCAGGAGTTCCAGACCAACCTGGCCAACATGGTGAAACCCCATCTCTACAAAAATACAAAAATTAGCTGGGCATGATGGCAGGTGCCTGTAACCCCAGCTACTCAGGAGGCTGAGGCGGGAGAATCACCTGAACCCAGGAGGCGGAGGTTGCAGTGAGCCAAGATCTCGCCATTACACTCCAGCCTGGGTGACAGAGTGAGACTCTGTCTCAAAAAAAAAAAAAAAAAAAAAAAAAATCCACTGAAAGAAAACTCATTCACAGTAAATAAATTCAGCAAGGTTGAAGAATATAAGGTCAATATACAAAAAGCAAATGTATACTGTAGGAATGAACAACTGAAAATGAAACTAAGAAAACAATTCCATCCAGACATGGTGGCTCATGCCTGTAATCCTAGCATTCTGGGAGGCTGAGACAGGAGGATTGCTTGAGGCCAAGAGTTCAAGACCAGTCTGGCCAGCATATCAAGACCCTGTCTCTATTTAAAAAAAAAAAAAAAAAAAAAAAAAAGGCTGGGCACGGTGACTCACACCTGTAATCCCAGTACTTTGGGAGGCTGAGGCTGGTGCATCACCTGAGGTCGAGTTCGAGATCAACCTGGCCAACATGGCGAAACCCCATTTCTACTAAAAATACAAAAAATTAGCTGGGCATGGTGGCGGATGCCTGTAGTCCCAGCTACTTGAGAGGCTGAGGCAGGAGAATCGCTTGAACCTGGGAGGCGGAGCTTGCAGTGAGCTGAGATCATGCCATTGCACTCCAGCCTGGGCAACAGAGTGAGACTCTGTCAAAAAAAAAAAAAAGAAAAAGAGAGAGAAAGGAAAGAAGGAAGGAAGGAAGGAGGGAGGGAGGGAAGGAGGGAAGGAAGGAAGGAAAGAAGGAAAGAAGGAAGGAAGGGAGGGAGGGAGGGAGGGACAATTTCACTTACAATAGTATCAAAAATATCAAAACATTTCAGAATGCCTTTAACCAAAGAAGTACAAGGTGTAAGACTTAACAAGACTTTTACACTGAAAATGATGTTCACCATTATTAGCCACCAGGGAAAAACAAAACCACAACATGACACCACTGCTTGCCCACAAAGAGGACTATAATAAAAAAAGAGATAGTAACAGGTGTTGGAGAGGAGGTGGAGAAACCAGGATCCTCATGCAGTTGTGGGAATGTAAAAATAATGCTGCTCTTACCAGATGGAACGTCTTGACTGTGAGTTGTCCAGGTTCTTGATGTGTTGAACAAAGAATTGAACAAAATGCACAAACAAAGCAACAAAAGAAAGAAACAACAAAAGAAAAAAGCAACAAAAGCACAGATGTATTGAAAGTGCAGATTGATTGAAGTGAAAGTGCACTCCACAGAGTAGGAGCGGGCTCAAGCAAGCAGCTCAAGAACCCCAGTAGCAATGTTCTGTAGGGCTTTTCTGAGGTGAAAAGAATTTGGTAACACCCTGGGTGCCCTTTAGAGGCCTGTGACCAATCAGAGGCTGAAGCGGAGATGTGGCCTGTGGTCAATCTGAGGCTGACATGCAAACTTGTCTGTCTTGTTATCACCGGAGGGAGACTGTGGCCTGTGTGCTGCCCAGTCCTGCCTGGAACTAGCTGCACCTGCTGTTCTTTTGCTTATACCTTCACCCTTGGTTACTCTAATTCCCTATTCTCCTGCCTCACAGCTGCTTTGGAAGACAGTCTGGCAGTTCCTCAAAATGCTAGGTATATGCATCCAAGAGATGTAAAAACATTTCCCCACAAAGCTTATACGGGAATGTCCTAGCAGCACTACCCTTAATAACCAAAAGGAAGAGAAAACCTCAACATCCATCAACTGATGAATGAATAACAAAATGTTACACATCCATACGATGGAATATACTATTTGGTAATAAAAAGGAATGAAATTCTGATATTGCTACACATGGCTGAGCCCTGAAAACCTTAGGCTGAGTGGAAGCCAGATACAAAGGACCACATGTTGTGTGATTCCATTTATATGAAATGTCCAGAATCGGCAAATACAGGGACAGAACATAGATCAGTGGTTTCCTGGCACTGGGGGTAGGAAGTAGTTAGGAGTAATGTCTAAGGGTTTCTTTTGAGGACGATGAAAATATTCTGAAACTAATTCTGGTGAGTGTTGTACTCAACGCACACTAAGGTTCACTGAATTGTGCACGTGAGTAAATTGTCTGGTGTGTGATTTGTACCTCGGTCAGGCTATGGAAACGTTTTCAATTAATGTCAGAAAGAAGAAGCTGGCAGAGAGTGGTGGTGTCTGCTCCTGCAGTTGTCCACGAAGGGAGGGTGCCCTCTTGGAATTAAGTGGACTGGAGAGGAAATGTTCCAGAGATTCCTTTTTAAGAGGCTAAATGGACTGCATATAGCAATGGATAGCATAGATCAGGGGTCCCCAGCCTCCGTGCTATGGACTGATACTGGTCCGTGTCCTGTTAGGAACCGGGTGCACAGCAGGAGGCGAGCAGGGGTCCATGAGCATTCCTGCCTGAGCTCCGCCTCCTGCCAAATGAGCCACGACGTGAGAGTCCCAGAGGAGCGTGGACCCTCTTGTAAACTGCACGTGTGTGCCCCTTGTGAGAATCTAATGCCTGATGACCTGAGGTGGAACCGTTTCATCCCAAAACCATCCTACCCCCAGCCTGTGGACAAACTGTCCTCCATGAAACCAGTCCCTGGTGGCAAAAAGGTTGGGGACTGCTGGTGTAGATGACTCCCAAGGCCTCAGGTCATATCACCAGTCCCAAAGAGTTTGGAGTTACAAGCAAGATTGTCCTAAAATCATCACAGCTGGTTGTGGGCGTGTCAGCAGGCGTGGGGAGGAGTCGTCCCCAGCAGAGGACTGAACCCCCCCCTAGGAGGGCCTGCACCTGAACCTGCTTCCTAAGAAACTGGTGGTTGTCTTTGCAGGAAATTCTCCAGTTGCTGGCTCCTCTGTGTTCACTATTGATAGGTGATATGTCACAGCCCTACGTCAGACCCTCCAGTGCCCTCCCATCTACGTGGGATCAAACCCAGTCTTCCACCTGGCTTGCACACACCCTGGCCATGCCCCGGCCTCCTTCCCACCTCTGCCTCCCTCACCCACTCACTGGCCTCGCAGGCCTCTGCCCCGTCCTCAACACACCACGCTCGTTCCCACCTCAAGGCCTTCACACTGGCTGCTTCTGTGCCCCAGTGTTTCTGTGACAGTCCTCAGCCCTCCCAGCCAGCCTCTCTGAGCCCCCTTCTGACAAGGGGTGGGAGGGTCCAAGCCCCCGGGTTCGGCTGCCACTGCTGGTCAGGGGCCACACTGGAGGCTGGAGAGGTGGTGGATGTGAGCGTGGACGGTGGGAGGGAAGCACAGCCTGTCGGGGTGGAGATGGTCTTTCCTGCCTGTCCTGTGGCCGCGGTGTCATCCGAGCCCAGCATCGGTCAGTTCCCATACAGTCAGACGTCGCTTAATGGCGGGGTTGTGTTCTGAGAAATGTGTCCTTGGACGGCTTTGTCATTGTGGTACATCGTGGGGTGCTTTTCCACGAACTGGGAAGGTGCCGCCTGCTGCTATCGGGTGTGGCCATTGCAGCCAGGCCACAGATCTGTGCAGCACGGGACTCTGCCAAACACCACGGGTGGCTGTAACACAACAGTGAGGATGTGTGTATCGTAACACAGAAAAGCTACAGTAAAAATAAGGCACTACCCTCTCAAGGGGCCACGGTGAGGGACGAGGCCTGTCATTGACCAAAGCACGGCCGTGCAGCCCAGGACGGCAGTTCCTCACCAAGGGCCCGTGTGTTTGCGTCCAGTGTACGCTGTGTTCTGAGGGTGAACATGATGGCTGATTAATAGAAGTCTCATAACTTCAGTACAACCAGGTAAGTGCTGCGTTGGTCATTGTCCTTTTTGGATCCTTGGTTGTAGGCCAAAGAAGACAAGATAGCAGAACTGGAAACGGAAAACGCTGTCCTTCTTCTGAAATTGGCAGAGGTAATATTTTTAAATGTCCCGCAGGCTGAGTGGAATTGTATCCAGTGGGGAGTGATTTCATGTTGAAGTCAGCTTTTAGCCCTTGTAGAAGAAATCCATTGCGGGTGACTCCCTGGGACCTTTTCTTTTTGCCATCGAGTGAGCTGACAGGGACTCCTTGGTTGCTGTGTGAAGTGTCTTCTTACACTGGATTGAGTTCCAAAGGTTGAGCTCCAAATTCCTGTGTGTCTCTGTGCTCACAGGTATTTAATGAGTAACAGTTCATCAGGAACTCAGGCTTTTTCAAAACAGCTCTCTTGAGGTTTAGTGTACCAAGTAGGTGTACCAAAAATTTACCCATGTTAAGTGTACAGTTCAACATTTAGGAAATGTGTAGTTGTGTAACTGACTTAGTCATTTGTGCTGCTGTAAAAAATATCTGAGACTGAGACATTTATTAAGAACAGGAATTTATCACTCAGTTCCAGAGGCTGGAAAATCCAAGGCCAGATGCCACGGGGCCATTGGCGAGGGCCCTTCCTCCTCAATGATGGTGCCATCTCTGGCACTGTCCTTGCCTGGCAGGACAGTGGGGAGCACAGAAGGCTGCGCCAGTTCCCTTCTGTCTGTCCACGAGGCACAGGTCCGTCCCCAAAGGCTGCACCGGTTCCCTCCAGTCAGTCCATGAGGCATGGGTCCATCCCCAAAGGCTGTGCCGGTTCCCTCCAGTCCCTCCACAAGGCACAGGTCCCTCCCCAAAGGCACTGCTTCTCAACACCACCACATCGGGGGTTAAGTTTCCATGTGAATTTTGGATGTGGTGCATTCAAACCACAGCAGCCACCATCACCACAAGCCAGGTGCCCGGGGTCTCCATTGCCCCGAAGGTCCCCCACCAGCATGCTTCCACCCTTCCCACAACCGGTTGTTCCAGGAAGCCGCTCTTCTGGTGACTCGAGCGATCTGTCATCCCGGGATCAGCCCCAGAACACCTGAACGATGCCACCCATATCATCCATCTGCCTCACCAAAGAAAAACGTCTCTGGAAGATGACTCCGCTCAGTTTTTCTTGCAGGTTTGTTCTCAGAATTGAAAAGGAAGGGAGCACACAGGGAGAATGCCCTTGGCACACACGGACTCAGGTTGTTCTTTTCTACCATTTGCTGTTGCTACTTGGGGTAGGCTGAGAAGCGGCCGTGGAAAGAAAGCAGGCCTGAGTCCCTGGAAGCTTCTCATCGGGACGTGAACCGACTGGGAAAAGGATGTTTGCCCATGTGACCAAATTAAGACTCTTGGGATGGGAGAGTGTCCTGGATTATCCTGGTGGGCTCTGAATGCCCCCATAGACGAGGAGGCAGAGGAGTTTCTACACAGGTCACGTGGGGATGGAGGAAGGGAGCTTTCCAGATGTGACCATGTGTACATGGGCAATACAACCGCAGGCCAAGGATTGCAAGCAGAGCCAGAGCCAGGAGGAGGCAGGAGGGGCCCTCCCCAGAAGCCTTCAGAGGGAGGCCCGACCACACCTTGGGTCTGGACTTCTGGCCTCCAGAACCACGAGATGAGAAGTTTCTGTTGGAAGCCCTCAGTTTCCCGTAATTTGTAACAGTGGAAAGAGGAAACCATTGTGTTCTCATCTTTAAATTATTACTCCTTTCGAATTCTTGGAATCTCAGCAGAATCAGGGCCAAGTGGGGCTTCTACTCTTCTTGACTATCCTTGAATAACCCTGTTGAGTTTCATTGGAAAAAAAAAATGCAGTTGTACAAAATTTGCAAATTAATTAAGGAATATTCATACTACTTCTTAAATGAAGTGAATATTTTCTGCATTCGTTTTTAAGCTCGTTCTTTCCTGGGGTGTTGAGGCCTGGGTGTGCATGCATTATCATGCCCTTCCTAGGCACGGAAGACCAAGGCACACAGGCGGTAACACCAAGGTCCGGAGAGGTGAGAGACGTTCCCACATTCACAATGACAAAAAGCCACGGGACTGAGCATCAAATCTCATCACCCAGTTCCAGGCCACATTGTTCTCTGGAAGTGCACAGTGTAATTCTACAGTAATGAAAACAGCTGGAAATAGTAACCTCGTCCAACCTAAGAGCCTAACAGCATTTCGTGGCTTTACTGGAAGGGTCAAGACTCTTGGTCAACAAGATCTCAAGGAACCCAAGGCGTCGTTGCTCCACAATCACACTCCAGTCTCCATCTTTGGCCAGGGAAACGGGTCCTTCCATGGAGGAGGGACCCCAGACCCCTGCTGGTGAGTGCCTGAGTGTGCCTGAGATGGCAGAGGTAAACCCCTCAGCATCACATTCCAGCAAAGCCTTCTCCAGCGGAACGTGGACGGCCCTGCTCAGGGTCCCTCAGCATGAATGGCTCTCCAGGATGTCACAGCCTCTGCGGTGCCAGCAGCCTGTCAAGGAGTGGCTGTCTGTGTGGCCACAGACCCCTGAAGTGCAGGCCCAGCCTTCCCATTTGGGTCTAGTCCAGAGCCTGGTACTGTTCACCACGTGCTGTTGGTGGGGGCACTGCCCAAGCCCAGCGACTTTTCTAGTGTCATTTAGATAAGCTTTTTAAAGGATCTTTTTTAACATGTAAGATCATTAGGCACACAGTGTGAAACGAAGCGGTGGAGCCCTGGCGTCTGCACTGTGAGCCCCTCCTGGTGGTTCCGGTCACTGGAAGGCCGATCTCCACATGGTGGCCCTGCCTGCTGCCTCCCCCAGGCCAGCATGCCCCACTGCCACCAGAGCGTGGCCTTGGTGTGTGACGTGCTTGGCGTCACGGGCCCTGCAATGAAATGGCTTTTCCACTGGGACTCCCGGACGGGGACGCAGGTGGAGCATTGTCCACCCCATGCGCTTTGCAGATCAGGTGGCTGCACCGGCCTCCTGGTCCTCCTGGCCCTCCCGGCCCTCCCAGCCTCTCACCCTCCCGGAGGCGGAGCTCCCTGCCTGCGACTCATGCTCCTGCTTCCCGTGTCGCCCGCACCTAAGGTAAGTCCCGTGTCCCTTGCCCTACAGGTGGTGACTTTATTTCCATCCAACTCCATTCCTCAGCACCCCCCAGCGCAATCCGGCCTCCCTGTGCCCACGCAGGCTCGCTCCCCCGTCTTTCTGTTGCCCACGGTCAAATCCCCCAAAGCTCAGGGCAGCCCCACGTTGAGCGCAGGCCATCCTGGGGCCATGGATATTCCTGTAATTGCCGTTCCACACCTGGTGAGTCCCGGAGGCTCTGGAACCGTGGATTTTCCCAGAATTGCCGTTCCACGCCCGGTGAGTCCCGGAGGCTCTGGAACCGCGGACTTTCTCGGAATTGCCGTTCCACACCTGGTGAGTCCCGGAGGCTCTGGAACACGGTTTCTAACACGCGCAGGCTGATTTCTAACGCTCACGCGCGTGGTATTGCTTTCTCCCCAGAGAGGATCTGAGCCTTTGGGGGCCGGGGACTCAATTTTGCTGCAGCTTCTTCTTTAGTCGGATGAGGGTGGGAGAACCTTCCCGGGCCCATCCTCAAGCCCCACGGATCCGGCCTGGTGCTCTTGGCGGCCTCTTCACCCCACCCCGGCTCTGGGAGCCGCCGTCCTCTGCAGTTCTCTGTTAACACCTTTCCACTTCGGAGGAGCTTCGCACGGAAAACACGGCGATTTTCTGACCTAATCGCACCCCGCTCTGTGGCCGCCCTCGCTCCACACTTAATTTCGGTGACTTTGCAGCCTCCTGCCCCGCTGGGCCCGGCTCGCCCCGGTCCCTCTGCTCCTGAGGCACTGAGCTTGGCCGTCTCTGTGCCAGGACTGGGGCCTGGGCTCAGCTCCCCGGAGGCACCGCAGGCAGCTCACACGCGGGCATCGCCGGCCTCACACGCAGCCCCTCTTCCAGGACGTTCTGCCTCCCCGCACCTGGCCGGGACCCTCAGGCTCAGCCCTGGGGGTGCCTCCCCGACGGCTCCTGTGGCTTCGTGCCCCGCGCACCCCCGGCTCACCTGGAGTTGTCCCCGCCGTGTTCTCTGCTACCGTGAGTCCCGTGCAGGGGCGATGTCTTCTCTCAGGCGGGCAGGTGCACCCGGGACAATCAGCAACCATTCTCTCCTCAGAGGAAAGAGGAGAGGTCCAGCTCTCCTCTGCTTCAGCTTCAAGGTTTTAAGACTTTAAATTGTCTTTGTTTATTTTCTATGCAATAGTACAAGGGAAAGATTGAAAAGAGTCGCAGTGAGGCCACGCGGATTTCCACTCTGTACAACAAACAGCAGCGTCTGCAGAGAAACACACGCTCAGCCTTGAGCCAGTTGGATCGTGTCATTCAGGTAAAAACAGCTTCACCAGAAGCCAGAGTTTTAATTTATGCAGTGAATGTTTATGTGTATTTCTGGTGAAACGGTTTAAATTATGCTTGTCAAAAGACACGTCATCTTATGGAAGTAAAAGAAGCCCTCACTGAAAACAGGAAAGCCCCTCGTGTGTTAGATACAAGTTTCCATTACAGGCCCGTTCTGGTCTTCTTTAAAAGGGTTCACCATCGTTACCATTTTCTTTCTTTCTATTTATTTATTTATTTATTTATTTATTTAGAGATGGAGTCTCGCTCTGTCACCCAGGCTGGAGTGCAATGACGCGATCTTGGCTCACTGCAACCTCCACCTCCCAGGTTCAAGCGATTCTCCTGCCTCAGCCTCCTGAGTAGCTAGGACTACAGGTGCCCACCACCATGCCTGGCTAATTTTTATATTTTTTGTAGAGACGGGGTTTCACCATGCTAGCCAGGATGGTCTCCATCTCCTGACCTTGTGATCCGCCTGCCTCTGCCTCCCAAAGTGCTGGGATTACAGGCGTGAGCCACTGCGCCAGGCCAAAATTGTTACTATTTTCATAATCAACTGCAGATGCTATTCACTCAGGGAGTTCTGCTTTCTAATACATACTAAACAGAAGACTACACCTAAAAACAAAACAAAACATAGGATTGGGATTCTGAGCAAATATCAGAAGGAAAATACATTTTGGCCATGAAATGAATTATTTCAAATAGCTGTGGCAGTAGTTCAATTTTATGAGTCAAAATTCTCATTTTAATTAATCAAATTAAATCATTAAACTGAAATCTTACTTTAGTTAATCAAAGTTCTCAATTTAATTTTAGCGTTAAATGGTAGAAAACATGTTTATACATGTTAGATTAGATAGATCTGGCACAGCAGGTCATCAGTGTGAACAGCTCCTGCTAAACTACTAATAATTTTTAGAAATGAAAGTTCAAAAATAGTCATTCCGTATAGTAATTCTCCAGGGTGAAATTGTAGGAGGATATTTTCATACCTTTGGTTGAGAACATTGTTTTGCCTTTTGTTTTAAACAACGTGACCAGCGTAATGGCTACAACAGTAAAACATTTGTAAACAGGATTAATCTGTTCTCTTTGTTAGTCAGAATTAGAGATATCCCACCCCCTCGTAAGCTACATTAGTGTATTTAGAATAAATGTATATGAAATTAATTTTCATTCTTTTTAAACTGAATAAAATTAATTGAATAAGTTGTATAACTTTTTCTGTACTCCATATAATAAAAACACTTCAGTTTTGATATTCAAATGTTATTAAGTTATTACAATATTTCCCAAACATATGAAAGTCATCTCCATTTTATAGAAAAGGAGAGACTTGACTAAAGCAATGAAGAATACTTATTTAAGTTTAGTTATGCTCTCGTGATTTAAGAGTGTCTGATATTAAATATTAAGCAGTAGTGTCCTGGTTCTGTCAAATGTTCCCATGGAAGATCCTTGAGATAATTTCAGGGGGAAAAGAGGACTTTCCACACAGGACATCAGTTGCTTTGCTCCCAAAGTTCTCTAAAAGCATTCATATGTATTGTGCCTGGAATTTTATTATGTACATTTGCATGTTAAGTTGTTTTCACCGGCCCACATGTTTTCCACCACGTGCTCGTGATAACTGAGCTTCCAGAAGGCAGGTCTGGATAGTAGATTAGGAGGGTGGCCCCCGTTTCTCAGGCGGTGATGAGAGGCTCTGAGCCCGAGCCATCATCGTGAGGAAGTCAACAACAGACCGAAACACGGCTCGCGCCCAGCATCACCGCACTGTGCAGTGAGCGGCCCTTCCTACGGAAATTGGTGAAATACTTGACTTTCTGTTTCTTAAATACTTTAAGGGCATAAAAGCCACATGTACTGCTTTGAAAATACAAATCCCAGATGTACCGAGTCAGAACTTCTGTAAGTGAGCCGAGGCGCAGGTGGCGTGAAAACAGTCCCAGCGGGCGTCCACACGCCTTTGCTGAACCACTTCTGCTTTAAACCCTTCCAATTAACAACACGTCCGGCCCCGTTACATTAATTGTGTGGGTCTGTTATTATTCTATAGAAACATACATAGTTATTATGTAATTATACTGTGATCATTAATATAATTTTACGAATCGTGTATGTTGTTATTTTATAGAAACTTAACCAAGATATACAGGCGTTTCATTCTTCTTCTCGGGCACTCCTAAGAGATTATCAGGATGAGTATCAGGACCGTGTTTCTGCGATAGTGACCGCGGTGCAAAGAACACGGCAGAGCACTGAGACCCTGCTAGGTAGGAAGGGCGTCAGTCCACACTCAAGAGAAATGTTTGCCATTTTAAGACAATGACCGGCTAGAATTTAAGTTTCCATTTCTTTTTCCTTTTAGCTGACACCTAATTCCACAGGCAAGGGTAGGCACCGTGTGATTCGGCCACGTTGGCGTGTGCACTGCTCCCTCCCAGCTCCCACTGCAGCCCCACTTGCCAGGGGAGCTCCTTGTTCTCTTGGTCACCACAGGGCACTTCCCTGGCCTTGACGGTCACTACTGAACTGGCACCCGTGTCCACATTGGGCATTTTGTGTCAGAGTTTCCTAAAATATGACGTGAGGTTTTTTTTTTTTGTCTTATCAGTTCAGTTCTTTCTTCGTTTCTAAGAATGCCACAGCATTTTGGCTACTCTTTTGTTATTATTACTGTGCTTGAAGCCTGTGGAAGAGGTTACTTTGCTTCTGCAGTTTTAAACTCATCGTCCAAATTGCACTATCCGGCCAGGCCCAGTGGCTCATGCCTATAATCCCAGCACTTTGGAAGGCCGAGGTGGGCAGATCACATGAGGCCAGGAGTTTGAGAGCAGCCTGGGCAACATGGCGAAAACCTGTCTGTACTAAAAATACAAAAATTAGCTGGGTGTGGTGGTGCATGCCTTTGATCTCAGTTACTTGGGAGGCTGAGGCAGGAGAATCGCTTGAACCCGGGAGGCGGAGGTTGCAGTGAGCCGAGATCGCGCCACTGCACTCCAGCCTGGGCGACAGAGCGGGACTCCATCTCAAAAAAACAAAAAAACCAAAGAGCACTGTCCCCACGTTCGTCTCATGCTCACAGCTTCTGTCCAGTGTTCAGTGTGTCCACAGGCCAAACAGATGATTGTCAAGTTAGGATCTTGGTCAAGCGTTGTTCTGCTGTTATTGCAAAATAGGCTTGTGGAAACTTTGGAAGCTGTACTGTTTTTCTGCAAGGCTACGTGATGCTTTCTTGAAATCGCTGCAGTAGCCTAGTTTTCTTCAGTCACTCTGCTAATAACTCCCCGGAGGCCATGTTTGTAGAAGTGATGTGTGCACGCCTGTGTTCTTTTCTGTGGTGGGTGTGGGGGGACAGAGTCTCGCTCTGTCGCCCAGGCTGGAGTGCAGCGGCACCATCTCAGCTCACTGCAACTCTGCCTCCCAGGTTCAAACGATTCTCCCACCTCAGTCTCCCGAGTAACTGGGATCATAGGCGCCCGCCATCACGCCGGGCTAATTTTGTATTTTTAGTAGAGACGGGGTTTTACCATGTTGGCCAGGCTGGTTTCGAACTCCTGACCTCAGATGATCTGCCGACCTCGGCCTCCCAAAGTGCTGGGATTACAGGCACGAGCCACCACACCTGGCAATGCCTGTGTTCTTATAAACCACGTGCTCCAGGGAAAGGGACAATCATTTTTGTGAAATGATTTTCACAGTAATTTTGTGAAAAGCAGTGTACCTAAGCTTTGAAAAGATGAAACTCAAAGGGAGAAGCAGGGAACAGCCAAGGCTGTACCGCAGAGGGAATGCTGGCACGGGAGGAGGCAGGGCCTGCTGAGACCCTGCCTGTGGGAGCCACGGTGCAGTCCTGCCACACAGAGGGGTCCCCAGGAGGCTTATTCCTGCCCAGGCATCAGGCTCAGGGGCTCGGGGCCTCCTTACCTGGCTTCCCTGGGGGGCGCGACTTCTCCCCTCAAGTTCCATGCTCCTCAAAGATGAGCCTCAGCCACCTCGGGTGCCCAGGCAACTCCTTTCAGCCGCGCTGACAAGAGGGATAGTGGGGACAGGCTGGTGGCTGGGGCCGGACACAGTCAAGGCTCAGAAGACCAAGTGACTGGGAGGGTCCCTCTCTCACTGTGGGGGACCCTTCCCACTTTCTTACGCCTGCATTCAGTCTGGACCTGGTAACGGGTGTTTCTTTCCGAAAGGGAGCGTGCGTGGTTCTGCAAGTCCAGCTCGGTTGCAGGCCTCATGAGAGCTGCATCTGTGCTGAGGGGGCCTTGTCCCTGCAGGTCCTCGGGCCTGAGGGAGAAAGCCCCAGCCGGGCTGCATCCTTTGGCTAAGTGACATCTGGAGGGGCCCCTGGCTATCGTGACTCATACAGGCACGAGGTGTCCCCTGCAGCACGACACCGCCCTCCGTGTCACCTTCACACTGCCTCCACCGCAATGGCCAGTCTGGGGATTGGGGCGTCCAAGCTCGGCCAAGGCCCCCACGCAGTGCCCACTCATCGCCACATCACCGTGGCGCCATCCTGGTGGGACAGAGGCGGGAGTGGAGGCCCAGACCACTGTTACAATCCACAGCAGCAGAGCCTGGCCCCAGCATCTGCTTCCCTGCCCCACTTCCCCGCACCAAGGGCTCCCAGTGCATTAGGAGCAGAGACCTCCTTGGCTGCCGTGCAGACGATTGGGCAGCATTCAGGCTGATGACTGATGGGGTAACTGTGGGGAGAGGTTCCCCCGGTAAGCTCTGTGAGTCCCTGGTCACGGTGGGGACAGGGCAGCCTGGGTCCAGAGCGGTCAGGAGTACACACCACAGCACGCAGCTGGCCCTGGCAGACTGCATTGTTTTAAAAATGTCTCCCATACTTAGAGAAAGGAATTTGACCTGTTGGGCCCCATGGATGTCCTCTCCGGTATAATGCCTCTGTCCCTTTGTCCTTTCAGCGTGCCAGGCAAAGGTGGTGCACCTGGAGCAGGCCTTGCAGGACGTCAGTGCGCGTCATCAGCAGGAGAAGCAGAGAAGGAAGGTCCTGCACAACAGCCTGGTGGTGAGCGTGGGCGTTGGGGAAAACTCGGGCCGCCCCAGGGAGAGGCCCACACAGAACACGCAGAAGCCCCTTGCAGGAGGGTGCTAGGCGGGAGGGACAGCGGGGAGGGGGACAGTGGGGCGGCCTGGCCGGAGGGCAGAGGGGCAGAGCTGCGGGGTCTGTGACCTGCGTACTCATCACCCAGGAGGTGATGGCAGCTGGAGGAGGGGTGAGGGCGCCACAGGCTGATTTAGGCTTTCGGGGTCATTCTGGCTGCTCGGTTAGGAGGCCACGATGGGGAGCAGGGGGGATGACTGCAGTGTCACAGGGGCCGGCAGCCTGGGCCACGTTAGTGGCGATGCAGGAAGTGGGACTGGCTGCTGTGAGGCACGAGGAAAGAGCTGTCACGGGAAGTCAGGAGTGCGGGAATCTGCAGAAATGGGGACTGGCGCGGGAAAAGCAGGGATTCTGTTGTAACTGGAGATGCCGGTGGAGACAGCCGTGCCCCTTCTGTCACCAGCACCTTCCGGCCACGTCTCTCCCTGCCCATTAACAAGACCGGGAGGCTCTCGTGCTTACTTGGTCAAAGATATGAGACCTGAGATCCCATGAAACTTAACGTAAAGTCTCAGGGTTTGATTTTACAACACGAGGATGCCAAGGTGGATGACTGAGTTGGTGACCCTTGCTTCTGTGAGGTTTGATTTTGATGGCTGCGCTTTGGCCAGTCTTTCCAAATTCCACCTGCCCGAGGCCCACGAAGCCGGTGTCCCTGCAAAGTTTCTCTCCCCTGGCCACGCTGAGAGGTTCTCCAGCTGTTAGATGTGTCAAAGAATAATTCTCATTTTAAGCATCTACTTATGTAGTTCAGTGCTCCAAACATTGATATAAGAGGGCATTTATTGAGTGCTTCCTGTGTACCAAGTACTTTTGAAAGCATTTTAGTGTATTTCTTACTTAATCTTCACTGTAGCACCACCTCTCTGGGTTGCGATAAAGACAAAGGGAGATATCAGGGAAGCACCTAGCACTTCAGAAAGTCTCACTACGCTGCAGCTTTTTATAATCTGAAGTGTGAAAAGGACAAAATGAACCTTCCTAAGACGGAGGCAAGTCCCACAGGGAAGAATTGGTTGTGGAAGGTTCTGAGCGTTCCACCTCAAGCCTGGGTCTCCTGGTCTAGAGGACGAGCATGCAGTGTGTGGCCCGTGGAGAACGTGCAAGCAGAGGCTGATCCCAGCTTCTGTGGGTTCATAGAGACCAGACGGAGGCTGTAAATCATTGGCCTATGACACTCACTCGGTTTTCAAACTGTAGAATGAGCTGCTCAGCACAACAGGCTGAATGAACTCGCTGTGAATCCAAGACAAGATTTCAGAACGGATTCGGCAAGTGTCTGAGCACATACGTTAAAGATGTGTTGCTCCCTGGAAACGAGGGGAGTTTATGAGAATAAAGAGTTTCTAATTTCCTTCCAGTCATTAAATCAAGGAAATACGACAGATATTGAATTTCCAGAATCCCCCCTAAAATGCCTAAAAGGTTGAGCCCAGAATACCATTCAAAGGGATTTTCTTTGGTACTTATTACCAAGTGATACCCCTTTGCCAAGTGAACGCATTTGTGAAGTATGAATCCAGAAGTTTAAAATAACTGTTCATGGCCGGGCATAGTGGCTCATGCCTATAATCCCAGAACTTTGGGAGGCCGAGGCGGGCGGATCACCTGAGGTCAAGAGTTCGAGACCAGCTTGGCCAACACGGTGAAACCGCTTTTGTACTAAAAGTACAAAAATTAGCTTGGCATGATGGCAGGCGCCTGTAATCCCAGCTACTCTCGAGCTACTCAAGGAGAATCACTTGAACCTGGGAGGTGGAGGTTGCAGTGAGCTGAGACTGCACCACTGCACTCCAGCCTGGGCGACAGAGCAAGACTCCATCTCAAAAAATAAATAAGTAAATGAAATAACTGTTCACTGCCCTGCAGGGGCCTTTCGAAGTGGAGATGGGACTGCGAATGTCACGGCCGCGTCTCAGGAGCTGGTGCTCGGTGCATGTTCAGTGGGGGACACTCCTCAATGCAGTCTTGAGCCCGGGTTAACATGCAGACCTCTTTATCATTGTAGGAGCTGAAAGGAAATATCAGAGTTCACTGTCGGATTCGTCCTTTGTTGCCTTTTGATAGTGAATCTGATGATCCAGTTTTGCAGAGCAGGTAACCTGTGTTTGCATGGTGTGTGTGTTCAGGGAAAAGACAGAGGGGTGGCACAATTTTAAATGCCATCTATTGTCCTGCCGCCAGTCCCAAAGCAGCACATTCTCGAGTTGTGGGTGTGGGCTCTTTTTAAAGGATGGAGCTATCTTGCTGACAGCAGACAGTTAGCAGCCCTCTGGAATACGGCCTGAAAACAGCCAAACCGCCTGAGCAGGCCCGCCATACGTGGTAGCAGTTTGTACCTGAGAGGGCGTCTGTCTTTTCGTGGTTTGCCTCTGCGGGGTCTGAACAAACAGGGACAGGCTTTGAATGGACCTTTCCCTTTATGTCACTACATCAAAAAGGGAGCGCCCGCCCTTCTTTTTGAACCCGAGACCACCCACGCCCCTGTGCAGGCAGTCAATGAGGATTGACTCAACTGACACTTTTGACTTAGAGAAAGTTTTGATGGTGTTCATGGATAAAGCAAAACTGTCTGAAGTTCATTTACTCAAATGCTTACTTGAAAACCATACTCAATATGACTCTTACTTGCTCCCCATGAAACAACCCCCCTGGCCTTCCCCCCTCCCATCCTGACCACACCTGCCCCTCCCACTCCCATCCTGACCACACCTGCCCCTCCCACTCCCATCCTGATCACACCTGCCCCTCCCACTCCCATCCTGACCACACCTGCCCCTCCCACTCCCATCCTGACCACACCTGCCCCTCCCACTCCCATCCTGACCACACCTGCCCCTCCCACTCCCATCCTGACCACACCTGCCCCTCCCACTCCCATCCTGATCACACCTGCCCCTCCCACTCCCAACCTGCCACTCCCAAATCCATCCTGACCAAGCAAACCTGCCCCTCCCCTCCCATCCTGACCACACCTGCTCCCCTCCCACTCCCATCCTGACCACACCTGCCCTCCCACTCCCACCCTGACCACACATGCCCCTTCCCACTCCCATCCTGACCACACCTGCCCCTCCCACTCCCACCCTGACCACACCTTCCCCTCCCACTCCTACCCTGACCACACCTGCCCCTCCCACTCCCACCCTGACCACTACACTCCTCTCCCCTCCCACTCCCATCCTGACCACACCTGCCCCTCCCACTCCCACCCTGACCACACCTGCCCCTCCCACTCCCATCCTGACCACACCTGCCCCTCCCCATTCCCACCATGACCACACCTGCCCCTCCCACTCCCACCCTGACCACACCTTCCCCTCCCACTCCCACCCTGACCACACCTGCCCTCCCTCACTCCCACCCTGACCACACCTTCCCCTTCCACTCCCACCCTGACCACACCTTCCCCTCCCACCCCCACCCTGACCACACCTGGGCCTCCCCACTCCCACCCTGACTACACCTTCCCCTTCCACTCCCACCCCTGACTACAACCCTCCTCCCCACTCCCACTCCCGACCACACCTTCCCTCCCACTCCCCACCCTGACCACACCTTCCTCCCACTCCCACCCTGACTACAACCTGCCTCCCACCCCCCCACCCCAAGACCACACCTTCCTCCCCACTCTACATCCCTGACACCACACCTGCCCCTCCCCACTCCCACCCTGACCACACCTTCCCCTTCCACTCCCACCCTGACCACACCTGCCCCTCCCACTCCCATCGCTGGGCACACTTGGCCCTCCCCACTCCCATTGCTGACCCTCCCACCACTCCAAGGGGTTCCACTTCCCTGCTTTCCTGCCACCATATGGGGTTGGCTGTATCCACAGTGTGTGGGGGTCACTAGGGCCTGCTCCTGACTCTGTAGCTTTGCTCAGGCTGTTTTTCTTGTCTTGGGTTCCTCTGCTTAATCTGTCCAAATGAGCTTTCCTTGGAGGGCCTAGCTCGAGTCTCACCGTGTTTGCATCCTGCAGTTCAGCACTTGACTTGAGAATGTTTCAGAAAGCACTTCGCCGGTCCTACAGTGTGAAATAAGAAATTCGGATCTTTTGACAGTCATTGAAACTTTTTCGCCTCAAAGTTTTTAGACTTGATTGTGCCGGCTGTAGTACTTTCTGCACTTTCTTGAGTGGTGGCCACTTGTCACTTGTCAAAGGACTGGAAATTGGGCCTGTCGGGTGCGTCAATGTGGCACGGGACAGGCCTGGTGGCCCTCATTCAAAACGTGTGGGACCCGAAGAAGTGTTTCCGGTTTTGAATTTTTTCATATTTTCAAATGTTCATGTTTTGCATGTACCGGATCAGCAAGATAATGCGGTGAGCATTTTCTTTGAGCATCATCTCTGCTCAAAACGTTTTGGATTTTGGAACGTTTTGGATTTCACATTTTTGGATGAGGGATGCTCAGCCTGTAGTTAGCAGTCCCCAGCTGTGACCAGCTTTCCTGAACTTGCCTTTTACATGGCACTTCCAGACGGCTTTTGTTACACACCAGCCTCCCTTCGAGCCTCCCACCACAAGAGGGAAATACATGCAAATGAATGTAAATGAAATCCCTTCAGAAAAGGGGCTCCTCAGCTGCAGTAGCCTCATCAGAGGCGTGGCCTCGGGCAGGTGAGCAAACACCTGAGGCGTGGTCTTGGGCAGGTGAGCAAACACCTGAGGCGTGGCCTTGGGCAGGTGAGCAAACACCTGAGGCGTGGCCTTGGGCAGGTGAGAAAACATCTGAGGCGTGGCCTCAGGCAGGTGAGAAAGACAAGCACATTTCCATAGTCACAGAGGCTTGTTTCTGCTGGATGGCGCCGCTCCGGGCTGTTAGTTTCTCAGAACTTCCTGAGAGGCTCCATAAACGTGTGTGTGAACTCTCACATTGTTTGTGTTCATTGGCTTTTGGTTTTGAAACATGTTGCATTTTTTCGGATTCATGATGGTTTGCAGATGCTTGATTTCCTGAAGGGGAGAACCTGACAAGCCTGTCTTCTAGATCAGTGGTCCCCAAACTTTCTGGCACTAGGGACCAGCTTCGTGGAAGACAAGGTTTCCACGGACTGGCAGGCCGGGACGGGGATGATTTCAGGATGATTCAACTGCATTTCATTTATTGTGCACTTTATTTCAATTATTATTACACTGTAATACACAACACATTAATCATACAACTCACCACAATGTCAGATCGGTGGGAGCCTGAGCTTCCCTGAGCTTGTTTTCCTGCAACTAGAGGGTCCCCTCTGGGGGTGAAGGAGACAGTGACAGGTCATCACGCATTAGAGTCTCATAAGGAGTGTGCAACCTAGATCCCTCACATGCACAATTCACAGTAGGGTTTGTGCTCCTAAGAGAATCTAATGCTGCTGCTGATCTGACAGGAGGCTGAGCGCAGGCGGTGATGCCAGTGATAGGGAGCGGCAGTAAGTACAGAGAAGCTTTGCTCACTCACTCACCACTCACCTCCTGCTGTGCAGCCTGGTTTCTAACAGGCCTCCGTGGCCAGGGGTTTGGGTACCTTGTTCTGTATCACCACTGCTCTAAAGTGCACGTGAAGGAGATATTTAAGCGTGGATTACTGGAGTATGGATGACTCTCCCATGCAGTGCAGACAGGGAAGACGAAAGCAAGAAATAAAGAACAGGGGTATTGGAGTAAAAAAATCAAGAGAAGACAAAAGGGGGTGGGGAAGAGACGAAAATAATAAATAAAAAGTAAAGAGAAAAAAAAAAAAACAAAACAAAAAGGATAAGGTCAACAAGGACAATGAGTGGAGTTTTAGAAAGGGATGGAAGGGTGGACCCACGCACACAGGAAGAGAGAGAAGAGCCAAGCCAGGGTCCTGGGAGATAGGACAGAGACAGAGATGATGGCAGAGAAGCACAGGGGTGTTTTCGAGTGACCAGGACAGACACAGAGATGATGACGAAGAAACACAAGGGTGTGTTAGAGGCTGAATGTTAGGAATTCGGAAAGCAATTTCCTCATGACGTGTATTTTCAATGTTGTTTTATTCCTGCAGCTCCACCTCTAGAGAAGTGGCCCATGCTGTTGATGACGTGAGTATACAATTTTCCTTGCAAACTCTATTCAGAGAGCAGCTTCCTGCTTGGTGGGTCTCCATAGTCCCCACAGATCCCTGCAATGGAGAGCAACTCGGAGACTGAATGAATAGAAAGTAACTTATTTTAGGCTTTCTTAGTTAAGAAGAATTGTTTTTTTGTACCTTGATTTCTATTGGCACATGAAATTAAGCATTTGACACGCTTTCCTTGTGGGAAACCAGCTCCTGACCCGTAGTTCGATGTGAGGAAGTTACCTCACTTCCATTTATTTTCCAGCCCAAATGATCAATGAGTGCAAATATGAGCAGGTTCTAAAGTGTAGAGCACCAGGCAAAGAGACATAAATAGAAAATCGATGATATCAAGTGTGAACTTTGTGATTCTAAACTGGAATCAAGTAATTGTGTTTCTCCTGAAAAGCCTCCGTGCTTTTTAGTTTTAGCCATGAAAAGGCCGAGAAGTCAGAAGGAGCAGCCCAGCACCCCAGCTGGGGTGTCTGAGGACCAAGCCCACTGCAGGAGAGATGCTCATTAGACAACTCGGTTCTGGGCTGGGAAAGGAAGTGGGTGGGAGGAGCCTGGGGCACTTCCGGGCTGAACAGCAAGGGCGGCCTCAGAATGGGGGGGCTGTGTCCCAGCGCACGGAGCCCACCTCAGGCACTCCCTCAATGCGGGATAGAAGCGTGGGGGTTAAGGAGGGACTAGAGCAGATTGAAATACATCATTACATTTACAATCTTGAGTTCATAATAATGATTTTTTAAAAGGACCTCACATTACTTTTTTGGGTGCTAGAACATCGACTCATTATTCTAAAAAGTGATGGAAAGAGGAAAGCGCTGTAAGGTCCTTCCTGTAGGAAACATACTCAGGGCAGATGCATGGTTTTTGAGGGAACAGAAGATTCTAGGTGATAAACTCGACAAATGCTAAAACTGGAAAACCGTCATCTGAAACCCCCAGTGAAATAGTGACTCTAGGCTCCTCAGAGGACGCTGGTCAGGGGTTGATGGGATCTTCATGACAAGGGCTCAGGGTTGCCTCAAACCCTCTAAGCATTTGCAGCTCACCTGAAGTTGGGATGCAGAGACAGGATGTCCTGAGAGGGTGCAGCAGGTGGGACACAGCAGGAGTGATGAAGCACTTTTGCTTCCAAATCAAACCAGCATCTACTCAAGGCTCAAGGACGGTCATTTTAAAGGAGAGGAAACCATCTGCCAAGTCCAGAATGTGGACATTTCACAGAACAGACTGCCTGCCTTCTCTAATAATAAGTTTTATTTTTAAAGACACGAGGATAATAATAAGTTTTATTTTTAAAGACACGAGGATAATAATAAGTTTTATTTTTAAAGGTGACATTTCATGAACAGACTGCTCACTTTCAATAATAAGTTTACTTTTAAAGACAATGAGGAGTAACAATAAGTTTTTATTTAAAGAGCTATCAGAGGATGGCTGGCAGTCTGCTTTTATTTTTAAAGACACGAGGATAATAATAAGTTTTATTTTTAAAGGCAGGAGGACACAGTAGAATGAGATGAGTCAGCCTCAGTGTGTCCTGGTTTGGAGCCTGGCGTGCACAAGCCAGTGACTGTCACAGGCATTGTTGGAACAGTGGGGGAAGTCCGAGTGTGTCCTGGGTGTGTAGGGGGCAAACCTTGTCTTCTACCCTCCTAGGGTCCCTGGCAGGGCCTGAGAATGGAATTGGCCTAAGGCAGGTTGACGGGGAAGAACATCGGATTTGTTGAATGTGGGGTCTACCTGACACGGAGCCCCACGGGAAAGGAAGACTGAGGAGTGGCACAGCCTGCACGCTGCCCTGTGGTGTTGGGCAGAGGCCACGGTGGACAAGCCACCAAACAAGATGGGAGACGGAGGGAAGGCGAGGGCTGTGCTAACAGGTCTATCTGTGCAGAGCCACTCAGCTTCCGACCCTGTATTCGTCAGGGATCTCTAGAGGGACAGAACGAATGGAATAGATGTATATGTAAAGGAACAGTTTATTAGGTGTTAACTCACACAATCACAAGGTCCTACAACAGCCATCTGCAGGCTGAGGAGCAAGCAGAACCAGTCTGAGTTCCAACTGAAGAACTTGGAGTCCAATGTTCGAGGGCAGGAAGCATCCAGCATGGGAGAAGGATGTAGGCTGGGAAGCTAGGCCAGTCTCTCTTCACAGTTTCTTTCCTGCTTATATTCAGCTGGCACCTGATTAGATGGTGCCCACCCAGATTGAGGGTGGGTCTGCCTTTCCCAGCCCACTGACTCAAATGTTAATTTCCTTTGGCAACAGCCTCACAGACACACCCAAGATCAATACTTTGTATTCTTTAATCCGCTGATCAAGTGGACACTCAGTATTAACCATCACAGACCCCAGCTACCGACAAGAACATGCTTTGCTCCTGGCCCAGCGAGGGCGGCTCTCACGGGAGGGTCAGATCCTGCCTTCAGCGCAGGAGGAAGAGGGGAAGCCAGAGTGCTCTGCGTGAGCCTCCTGCTTCTCAGGAGCCTTTAAGTAAAGATAATCCTGATGCCTAAGTGGCATATTTTGGGGTGACGTGTTCTGCCACTCTCCATGTGACCTTAATTTTATAAAGTGTGATGAATGGCATGGTGATTGTATTGTAGAATGTCTTTTTTTTTTTTTAGAGATGGGAGGTCTCACTATGTTGCCCAGGCTAGTCTTGAACTCCTGGCTCATGTGATCCTCCTGCCTTTTCCTCCCAAAGTGCTAAGATTGTAGACCTGAGCCACCACACCGGGCAAATTGTGCTTTAAAAGTGTTCTTATCATTTAAAAATGCAGCCTGTAATACTTAGCGATAAAACGATCTATTGTCTGGTTTTGAATGTAAAGTATGCCTAAGAAAGGGAGGTGGATTGTGCAGGAATATCTGTAAAATAAGATTGGCCGGATGTTCAGCACTTGTGGTGCCGGATGATTGCACCTGAGGACGTGTCGTGCTGTTTCCCCCATTTCTGCGTATGTTAAAAAGTCCCCAGTGAGAACAGTTAAAAAAAAAATGCTGGGCCTCTCCTTCATTCTGCTTATTATGGTGATCACAAGATGAATTTAGAAAGCACATGAAATGCTAACCATTTCACTAACATTGATAATTTTGAATTTAGCATGAAAGTCTCAGGTCATGTAGGACACGATGGCCATTTTGAAGATGATTTTGTGTCACGTTGATTACCATACGTCTCGTTTGAGGTTCTACAAGGCGTGTCACCTGAATCAGTCTGATGATGGTTACATATAGTAAACTTTAAAACTCTTTTTTAAAAGGTAGTTTTAGTTAGTGGATTGATAGCCTTGTATTTTTTAAAGAGGCCAAGAAAATTGTTATAGCCATACTTTAAAATTGCTCTTACTATGTCCCTGGAAAGAAAAACTTTTACAATTCTTTATTTTAAAGTATTATTGATGGATTGATTGATTGATTCATTGATTGATTCAGCTTTATTTAGGTAAAATCAACAAAAATTGTATACATTCAACATCTACAAGATAATTTTATATACAGATGTATATGATTACCATCCATCTTTGGATGACACATATGGTAATCAATTTTACAATGAAGGCCGGGCGCAGTGGCTCACACCTATAATTCTAGCACTGTGGGAGGCCGAGGCAGATGGATCACCTGAGGCCAGGAGTTCGGCACCAGCCTGGCCAACATGGTGAAACCCCATCTCTACTAAAAATACAAAAAATTAGCTGGGTGTGGTGGTGGGCGCCTGTAGTCCCAGCTACTTGGGAGGCTGAGGTAGGAGATCGCTTGAATCTGGGAGGCAGAGGCTGCAGTGAGCTGAGATTGCGTCATTGCACGCCAGCCTGGGCAGCAAGAATGAGACTGCATCTCAGAACAAAAACAAAAGCAAAAACAAAACATACAATGAGTAAAATGATTACCACAGTCAATGGTAATGACTCCCAGGATGGCTAAAGAGTAGAAAGGGGGATTTTATCGGTGGTATCAGTTTGCAAACTGAGAAGAGACAGTCTCCAGCTCTCTCTGTTAAAAGGTGAACTGTAGGACACAGAGTTTGTGCACAGTCTGTATAAGCTGGTCGAAAATAGCTGGAGGTCTGCAGCTGCTTCTCAGGAAAGAATTGTGCAAGGCTGATCCTCTGCCTAATCAGGGTTGCAGTGGTCTGGGTTGTAAATCAGAGTTAGGGATTTTCCTGATGGCTCCTGTTGTTAGGGAGTTTAGCAAGAGTGTGGTTTTTCTTGTAGCCATAGGAATTTAGGACGCTGTCAGGCAGCCAAGCCCTGAACCCCTGACTCATAGGTGCCTTTTACTTCCTTAACCTTAGGGTCCATCTTGGTTGATGAAGAAGCGTCTATTGGTCTCTCAGATCACGTCTCCCACTTGTGGTCAGTCATAGCTTGGATTTCTGTGGGCTCATAGGCCTCTTATTTTAAATGGCCTGAGAGGGAACTTCATGGATTTGTTGTTCTTTCCTTCAACAGAACATTCTCTTTAGTTTACTGTATGGATTTGGCCTACCTTATGAAGGAATACTGTATGGATTTGGCCTACCTTATGAAGGAATTTCTTCCTTGAAGCCAAAAAAGATTCCCATGAAACTTTTCCTGAAGCATTTCTTCTATGTTTTCTTCCAGTAGTTTAATCACTTTGGGCCTCACATTTAGGTCTTTGATCCATTTTGAGTTGACCTCTGTATAGTGTAAGAGGTGGGAGTCTAGTTTCATTCTTCTGTATATGGATTTCCAGTTTTCTTAGTACCATTTATTGAAGAGACCATCCTTTCCTCAATGAGTGTTGCTGACATCTTTGTTAAAAAATCTGTTGGCTATAGATATGTTGGTTAATTTCTGGGTTCTCTGTTCTGTTCCACTGGTCTATGTGTTTGTTTTTATGCCAGTACCATGCTATTTTGGTTACTATAGCTTTGTAGTATATTTTGAGAGCAGGTAATGTTATTTCTCCAGCTTTGTTCTTTTTTTCTCAGCATTTCTTTGGCCATTTGGAATCTTTTGTGGTTCCATACAAATTTTACAATTTTTTCAGTTTCTGTGAAAAATGTCATTGGTACTTTGATAAGGATTGCATTGAATCTCTAGATTGCTTTGGGTTATATTGTCATTTTAACAATTTTAATTCTTCCAATTCTTGAGCCTGAGATATCTTTCCATTTGTTTGCATCCTCTTCAATTTCTTTCATTAGTGTTTTGTAATTACCCTTTTAGAGGTTTTTCACCTCCTTGGTTAAATTTATTCCTAGGTATTTTAAATTTTTGGCAGCTATTGTATATAAATGGGAGTGCCTTTTAAATTTATTTTTCATTTAGTTCATTGTTCATATGTAGCAACAATACTGATTTTTTCATATTAATTTTGTATCTTGCAACTTTACTGAATTTTTTGATCAGTTCTGAGAGATTTTTGGTAGAGTCTTTAGGATTTTCTGTATATCAGATCATGTTATCTTCAAGGAGGAACAATTTGACTTCCTTTTTTATGATTTGGATGCTCTTTATTTCTTTCTCTTGTCTAATTGCTAAGACTAGGACTTCCAATACTATGTTGATAAGAGGAGTGAGACTTGGCATCCTTGTCTTATTCCAGTCCTTAAAGAAAAAGCTGAAAGATGTTAGGATATTAGCTGTGGGCTTGTTACTTGTGGTCTTAATTATGTTGAGGTTGTTTTTTTCTATACCTAGTTTTATTAAGAGGTTTTTTTTTTTTTTTTAATCATGAAAGGATGTTGAATATTTTGACAAGCTTTTTCTGCATCTTTGGAGAAGATCATATGATTTTTGTCCTTCATTCTATAGATGTGACCCAGTTTGTTTATAGATTTGCATATTTTGAACCATTCTCGCATTTTGGAATAAATCCCACTTCATCATGATGTATTATCTTTTTGATGTGCTGTTCAATCAATTTGCTAGTATTTTGCTGAGGATTTTTATAACTATGTTCATCAGGAATGTTGGCCTATAGTTTTTTGTTATTGTTTTGTCATTGTCTGGTTTTAGTATCAGGGTTATGCTGGCCTTGTAGAATGAGTTAGGAAGAATTCCCTCTGCTTCAGTTTTTTTGTAATAGTTTCAGAAGAATTGATATTAATTCTTCTTTAAAGGCTTGGTCGAATTTAGTAGTGAAATCTTCTGGTCCTAGACTTTTCTTCGTTAGAAGACTTTATTACTGATTCAATCTCATTACTTGTTATTGGTCTGTTCAGATTTTTTCTTTCTTTTTTGTTCAATCTTGGTAGATTGTATGTATCCAGGAATTTATCTGTTTCTTGTAGGTTTTTGAATTTATTGGCATATGATTGTTTTTAGTAGTTCAGATGATCCTTTGTATTTTTGTGGTAGACGTTGTGACATCTCTTTTTTTGTTTCTGATTTTATTTGGGTCTTCCTTCTTTTTTCTGTTAGTCTGGCTAATGATTTGTTGATTTGTTTATCTATTTTAAAAATTAACTTGTTTTCATTGATCTTCTGTATTTTTTGTATCAATTTCTTTTATCGTGGTTCTAATCTTTATTTGTTTTCTTCTATTAATTTTGGGTTTGATTTGTTCTTGCTTTTGTAATTCCTTGAGGTACATCATAATGTCATTTATTTGAAATCTTTCTAGTTTTTTAATGTAGGCATTTATTGCTACAGACTTGCTTCTTAATACTACTTTTGCTGTGTCCCACAGGTTTTGGTATGATATATTTCTATTTTAATTTGTTTCAGAGAATTTTAAAGTTTCATTCTTAATTTCCCCCTTCATCCATTGGTCATTAAGGAGCATGTTGCTTGATTTCCATGTATTTGTATGTTTTCAAATATTCCTCTTGTTATTGATGTGTACTTTTATTCTGTTATGGTCGAATAAGGTACTAGACGTGATTTTGATTGAAAAAAATTGTTGAGACTTGTTTTGTGTCCTAACATGTGGCCAATCCTGAAGAATGTTCCATTTGCTGATGAAAAAATGTATTCTGTAGCTGTTGAGTGAAATGTTCTGTAAGTGTCTGCTAGGTTCATTTGGTTTATGGTGCAGTTTAAATCCAATGTTGCTTTGTTGATTTTACATGTAGATGATCTATCCAATGCTGAGAGAGGGGTGTTGAAGTCCTCAGTGATTATTGTATTGGGGCCAATCTTACCCTTTAGATCTAATAATATTTGCTTTATATATATATGGGTGAAAATGTATTTACAATTGTCATATTCGCTTGCTGAATTGATCCCTTATGGTGTAGTGTTCCTCCTATCCTCTTTTCACGGCTTTTAACTTGAAGTCTGTTTTATCTTACATAAGTAAGGCTACTCCTGATTGCTTTTGGTTTTTCTTTGCTTGGAATATTTTTTTCTATCCCTTCACTTTCAGTTTATATGTCTCTTTACAAGTGAGGTGAGGTGAGTTTCTTGTAGACAGCATATAGTTGGGTCTTGTTCTTTAATCTGTTCAGGCAGTCTACATCTTTTAAGTGGGAATTTAATTTGTTTACATTCAAGGTTATTATTAATAGGTGAGGACTTACTCTTGTCATTTTATTGACTATTTTTTGATTGTTTTGTATATCCTTTGTTTCTTACTTCCTCTCCTTATTTTTTGCATTTAGGTGGTTTTCTGTAGTGAGTCTGATTCCTTTTGGTTTCTTCTTTTTGCATTGGCTGTACAAGTGAGTTTTATAGTTTTGTATTTTTTATGATGGTGGTTATTGTCTTTTCACTTCCAGATGTAAAACACCCTTGAGTATTTCTTGTAAGTCCTGTCTTGTGGTAATGAATTCTTTTTGTTTTTACTTGTCTGTGAAAGATTTTATTTTTCCTTCATTTCTGAAGGATAGCTTTGCTGGGTCTAATATTATCGGCTGAATTATTTTTTTCTGTCAGTCAGTACTTTGACTATATTATCCCATTCTCTCCTGGACTGCAAAGTCTTTGCTGAGAAATCCACTGTTGGTTTAATGGACTTATATGTGACTTAATGCTTTTCTCTTGCT